GTTTATAATATGGTAAATATAAATAGATATAACCCAAAAAATTTCTTTGGAAACCTCACTAAATTTTAAGAGTGTAAAGGGGAATCAGGGACAGAAGAGTCTTACTCCTGCTGCTCTATAGTATTGGGCGGAGGCTTGGAGTGTGCGGAGAAGGTGAGGTTGTCTCCCTTCTAAGCTGCCATGTTGTGACAGGGATTGTGGAGAAGACATTGTTGACATCCTCCAGTAGCTGAGTGTGGCTCCTTGCTAACAACCAACAAGAGAATAGGCTCTCAGTCATACAGTTGCAAAGAAATAAATTCTGCCGACAATCTGAATGAACTTGGTAATAGAGTCTCCCTTAATTGAGCCTGTAGATGAGAATACAGCTTGGCCAACGTCTTGACTGTAGCCTTGTGAGACCCTGAGCAGAGGACCCAGATAAGCCGTGCCTAGATTTCTGGCCCACAAAAATTGTATGTTGTTTTTAAGCTGATAAGTTTGTGATCATTTATTATGCAAAAATAAAAATTAATACAATTTATGTCTCTTCATTTATTCAAAAAATTTATTAAACATCTGCTTGGAGCCAGGTATGTTCTAGGCACATGTGATATAGCAATGAGGCATTTTGTCCATGTAGACCATCTAAGCCAAAACCTTCAGCCATTTCTCCCTTTATTTAAGGGGAAAATGTCTCAGTGACAGGTAGGTCAGTTGTATGTACTCAGGTGCTGATCAGATCAAGTTGACAAAGGCATACCCTAGGATTAGAAGTGTTTAAATCTGATATTATCTTAGGATCCTAAGGCAAATGGTACCTCCACTTCCTCTCATCTTGGAATGGCCTCAATACTAAGACATTACCAATTTCTTTCATAGCCTTCTGAAGTCAGGGTCAGATAAAAGTAGGTCCCAAATGCCAGGTTGGGAGCAGGTTATGTCAGAACCACCTGAAGAAAGATTTGGAAGTGCTAAATCCTGAGCTCCACATCCAGACATCTGTCAGTATATCTGTAGTAGAGCCCAAGAATCTATAGTGTGAAAAGTTCCCCAGGTGATTGTAATAGAAACTATTTGTTCATAAAAAGTTTTTCACATGTGGTATTCCACAAGTATGTTGGCAGAAAGGGCTTTGGATTTGTTTATAATGTTTGACCATATAATTTTTTGTGAAAGAAGATTGGCTATTGGTCCTAAAGGATTATTCTGAAATATTGCCATGAGACAGATTGAGTAAACTGAGTGTGGGACTCTACGCATCACCACTCATCCATGGCTTCTTGTTAAGATAAACAATGTTTGCCCTCTTGCCTTTCTACTAGACTAGATGCAGTTGAAAGAAAGAAGAAAAGGCCTTCTTGTCCCAGGGATATCTGCTAAATTTGCACTTGATGAGTGACAGATCTCTCCAGGTTTTCCACAATTCCACTAACCCAGATGGTCTCACCATCTCTTATTTCTAGGTATTTCTGAGATAACCCCTTAAGCTTTTGTGTTAGTTTTTGATCTCACCCAAATTCATAGTTCTGTGTTTCAGACCAAAATAGCTTCCCTAATGAAAATACATTTAAATTTTAGTGTGGAGTCTTAAAGCAATAGTAAACTATTCACACACAATTATTTAGTTTTAATTAGTCATGACTTTTCTATCAAATTTGTAAATCTTATAGGAAAAATCCAATTTAAATAATCAAACAAAATTTATAAATGTTTACCCCAAATACCACATATACAGCTCTACAATAACATAGACATCTACACACAGAGAATTATTCCTCATTTATAGACTTGAAGGACTGAAAAGTATCTGGGCTGGAAGAGCATTTAATACAAACCCATCATTTGTAGATCTAGAACACTATGTTGGGATACACTTCCAAAACTCCATATCCAGGTAGTGGAAAATCTGGACTAAATCTCACAGCTCCTTGCCCTGAGAATTCTATTCCTTCTGTTGAGGTCATGTCATGACTCAATACTACAATTATAAATATGGACACACACTGTGTTTTCTGAAATAACGTCATAAAATTATTTCTTGTGGGCAATTTGTCCAACGGAATCATTATTTCTCACGTGCTTCATCATGGCTCACCATTCAACTACTTGTGTAGGGTCTTTCCACAATATCTGTGCTTCAGGATAAGAGAGAGAGGAAAAGGGAGTGTTTCACTTCTGTTGTGAATATCTATAACTAGGAGAATAACCCCTTCAACTATGACCTGTCTGGGACTTTCAGTCATTCTTATTTTCCCTGAAGCTCTAGGGGTCATCTCGACTTTATCCCTGCATTCCCAAAGTCTCACTCTGCTCTGAGGTTGTAGTAGGAGCTTGATGTTTACTGAAGTGACTGTGTCTGACCTATAGATGTCTGTGAGTCTAGTATATACTCCCTTCCTCCATTGGGCCACTGGTGGGACCAATGATGAGAAACTTGGTGGCTAGGCATCCAATTTAGGACCATGTGCACTAGGAAATACATATAGTGATGAATTGTTGTTATGGAGGAATTTAAAATGTGTTAGAGTTATAAAAGATAAGACTTAAGATTTTACTCATTTAAACTCTAAATATTTATATTTTCGACTGTAAAACTCTAAGTAATGATGTAAATGTGAGATTAGAACACACCTATACAGAATAAGTTGTATATATTAGTCAATCCACCTCTTTCTTCTAGCTAGGATAAGGAAGAAAGTTCTATGTCAAGAAACAAAAGGAAGTGTATGGTAGAGTCGAGGAGCACTCATGGAGAACAAGGGGCTCAGTCAGGAGAACAGTCATTAAAGGAGGGTGGAGAGCTCCTTTCTCCACCTTTGATTTCCACCATTCTCTGGAGGATGTTGGGACTATTGCTCAGTTAGGACTTTTCATGACCATGTTTCAAATCTTTTTAGTCAAATCTAATCAAAATGGAATACATAGGTATAGAAAGAAAATCCCTATATTTTAGAGAAGTATATATTGTTATAAGGATCCAGTGAAGATCAGGATTCTTTAGAGATATCAAGAAGAGACAGAGTCTGGATCTGAACTCCATAACAAGCTATATCCCAGGGAAGAGGTGAGGAAATATTCATTTTTAGGACAGCAGCCAAATTAATCTCACGTCACTTTAATCCACTACACACTCTGCTTGATCATCAGTTATAAACCCCTCTCTACCCAGGTCTCTTCAGCTCTGAAGGGTTTGAATCTTATCACCTCCATTATTAACTCTCATGCTTATTAATGCTCTAGACCTACCAGACTAGACTTTTATTTTTCCAACATGCAAAACCTGTGTTTATCTTAGGGCTTTTCAACGTGCTCTTCTTTATGCCGGAGTGATTCTCCTTTTGGTCACTGCATGCCCAGTTGCTTCTCATCTTGTTCAGATTTTTTTTTCCCTCCAAGGGATCTTGCCTGACGACTCTCTGCTGTCGCTTCCATGACACATCCAAACTGTTTCCATCGTATTGCTTTCTGACTTATTTTTTTTTACTGAAACTTATCACTAGGAAAAATAACCTTATATGGCTAGTACTAAGCCTCAGGAGAATGTGGCACCGTAAGAGCAAAAACCTGTCTTTGTTCACTGTGCAACATTAGTACCTCGAATAGTACCTGGAACACAATACATGCTCAATTGATATGTACTGGGCGAATGAAGAATAGACTGAGAGATCATCTGAGGTGTGGAAGATGCTGGTCCTGGACTGGGAGGAGTTTAAGAATGAGTGACTAAAGTGACCACGTCCTAACAAGACAGCGATTTCATCTTTGCTATGTCCAATTTCCACTTTCTGCTGTTCTGTGTCTATATAAAGAATGAACATACTTATGCCATGACTTTTTTTTTTAACCTAAAGTCACTGGCTTCTGTTGAGCATGGCAGTTTTCTAAACGTAGGGTCCCTGTGCAATATGTTCAGTCAACAACAAACCTGGAGGTGCAAAACCACTAATGGCTTCTCCAGAGGAGATGCTCAAATGCAGTTGCTGTCTGTAGTACTAATAAGAGCAAGATGTAAGTCAAGTGAGTAGTACTTGGAATGGAAACACTATGTCTGATGGCCTTGAAAAAAAAGATCAGGATTCCCAAGCCAAAAACAGAAGTGCGGATTTAATGACATGCCACCTCTGCTCTGGAGTGAGTCAGCCACTCCTGTCACCCAAAGATCACTTGAATGCTACTGATCACAATTTTCAAGGGGCTTTCTCTTCCTGTTCCTATTGATTCTTAATGAAGATGGGGTAGGGGATCTCATGATTTACCCCTTCTTTCTGTGGCTCTGCAATGCTTTAATTCTGGAGCCTGTGTTCTTTCTTGACCTGAGTGTGAATGAGCCACTGACTCCCCCTTGGGGACAGCTGTAGAGGCCAGAATGGGCAAGAGCCACCTCGCCCTGTTGAGATCCCAGTTCCATGCCTCCTCCTTGCCCTTCCAGCACCACAAGACCAGCTTCCCCCTTCTCCAGGACATAGTTAATGCCAGGGAAGATTCTGCCTTTCCCCAGGCAGTACTAGAACCTGCCATGTACTACCTGAACAATTGATCTCATTCTACATTTGACTCAGACCCTGGATCCACCTCTAGTATAACCATTAATAGCTGCAGAGCTGATACACTCCTTACAGAAAGTATCTCTGAGGTTAAAATTTTTTTTATCTCATCACATAATGCATTTTTTTCCTTTCTTTTATTTTTTTATAACATAAAGTTCGCATTTATAAAAATAGTGTATAATTTATTAATCATACAGAATCAAAGACATTTGCTTCCCACTTACTCAGCTGGGCTCATTTACCTCTTTGGATGGAAATATTCAGATACCATTTGAAGCCTCAGGTTTTCAACTTAAGTCAGAGAGAAAAGTCTGCATCTCTTCATTTTATCAAGAACCTCCTATCCTCTTGTCTCTGTATTTTCTTCTAATCTCATATTATAGAAAGGGAAAAATTCTCTGGACTAGACTGTATGTACATGACAGCAGAGAGGCCACTCAGACACACAGAGACTTGTAAGTGATTCTGCAAAGTAGTTTATTGTAGGAACACAGGAGCTTCAGCTCAGCAAAGTTTAAAGAGGGTTGGGAGCTGGCAATGAGGACCGATGCTGATATCTAGGGTAGATGGTGAGATGTAACAGTAGCTGTGACTGTGGGGCTTGGCACATGAGCTTGACCAGGACTTAGAAGATCCAATCCAAGTGAACTGGAACCTGAATGTGGGTAACACTGTCTTGTCGAGTTCTGCATTCACAGGCAACAGTGTAGAACTTCAGTGCCTGTGATTGACTGTATCTGCAGTTCAAATATTGTTTTGAAGGTGTTGTGAGGTTGCAGTTGGTTACGCTGACTTGAAATGAGCTGTTATGACAATTTGTATAGTGGCTGCTATGGCAGGTTCCGTTTCTGGTGGTACAAACATTAGCTACAGCAGCAAACGTTGTGTTGAGGAAAGTATTGAATCGTTTGCATGTTCTTCCAGAAGAATTAAGATGTTTGTTAATTGGCTGCATCGCGATGTTGCATTGACTGTTGGTCATGTTTATGTGCTGAACTTCAAACCACTGAGCTGGGGTTAGATTACCGGGTGCGCCATGGAATGCAATCACCACTCCCAAGAGCCCCAGCAGCAGAAGGAGACAAAGCCGAGAATCCCGCTGAGTTGGAACCATGTTTGCTGTAAAAAGAGAGGAATCTCCTGCATCCCAGCCCAGTAGAGACACGCCCTCTCCTCCCTCACCCCGCAGGGCCCCCTGACCTCGCCAAAGTTCTATTTCCTTTCCCCTCAGCTCTCTCAAGTCTGTCAAGTGCTGGGCACTAACTATAGCTCAGCCCTCCCACAGTGGCTGTCACATATCTGGCCCTCCTTTCCCAGCTCCTGGGGATCACTGTCTTACCCAAGAGTCTGTGCTGTGGCTGCCGTGAGAGAAGATCCAGCTGGTCGTCCGGAGGCTCAGGGGCAGCTGGTCTCCCCTGTTCAGTTGACCCAGATATATAGCGGCCCCTGTGGGTGGGCCCAGCAGGAAGGGTCTGATTGTAGGACTGAAAGAACCCACAGACTGGCACATGGCCCACTTGTGCAATGAGCCTCTTGTTTTGTCATTTGCTATTTCACTGCATACCAACGACAGACCACTGCTGCTCCTGTGGTCCAACTCTAATTGCAGGCATAGATCTGTCAGTGGGTCTGGTCTCCATTGATGAAAACTACACACTGGCTGCAGAATGGCCACAGAGTTTATAACTCCACTGGGGCAGGCACTGAGGGACTGAAGTATAGAAGGGTTGGCCCAGTGCTCGGAGCAAACAGAGCCAGGAGGGCTGTCTGCACAGGTGGATCCAAGTCCCTTTCATTTTAGTGATCTTCCGGGTTCCCTCTTATCCGAACATTCTCCATTTCATCACCTCCCTGTGCCATAAACTCGAGTCTGAGTTTCCAGCTGCTCAAAATCCTGAAGGTACATAGTGGTTTCTTATGTATCTTTGAGGTTCGTTTTTTCTGTTCCTCTTGTATTGGATTCATTTTCTCTTGGTTAAGTCTTGGCCTGACCAATGCCTTCATTTCATGTCAAGTAACAATAGATAGTATAACCATTTCCACCCAAAGAAAAGTCCTTTTGTAAAATTTGCCACAGAATAAACTAGTGGTGTTATTTAAATCGTGCAGAGTGAGCAATAGATTAGTGCTTACCAGAGGGTAGCGGTGAGGAGTGAGGGGGGCGGTAGATGGGATAAAAAGGATCAAATATTTGGTGACAGAAAGAAATCTAACTATGAGCTATGAACACACAATGTAATACATATATGCCTTACTGTTGAATTGTACACCTGAAATTTACTGGATTTTGTTAACCAATGCCACCATAATAAAAAATAAATAAATTAAAACAAACAAACAAACAAATAGTGCAGAGTTGGGACCCATAGCCCAGTAGCACAGGCCTCAAATTAAATTTCTGGTTCACCTCCTAAGTTTGAAAACTGGGTTAGACCCTTACATTATATCATAAAACCTTTCTTTTAAAAAAAATAAATAATTAATTAATTTTTTATGGTGGCATTGGTTAACAAAATCCAGTAAATTTCAGGTGTACAATTCAACAGTAAATGTATATTTACACTGTGTGTTCACTTCTCATAGTTAGATTTCTTTCTGTCACCACGTATTTGACCCCCTTTACCCTATCTATCTCCTCCCTACCCTCTGATAACCACTAGTCTATTGTCCATGTCCATGAGTCTCTGTTTGTCCGGTTCATTTGTTGCTTTTAGGTTTTATATCCCACGTACAAGTGATATCATATAACCTTTCAACAAAACTAATATACATCATTTTCACTACCTTTCTCTATTCCTGTCATCTGGAAATGCAGTAATTTCACCACAGATGTCCTTATTTCAACATGGACATAGTGAAGATCTTGTCAGGACCTAGTGCAGAGCTAGTAGCACTGTGTCATAAAATCCTGTTCTTGCTGAAATTCATTAATATCTTTTATTATGAAGCAAATGGTTTTTTTAAATGTAGTTTCATGGAAATTATTTTTATAGGTGATGAGGATGTAAAAATGAATCAGATGTAGTGTCATTTCTGAGTTGCTGAAGGCCACACTAGGTAGAAGGACCTGTACTTAAGTGTCTATTATATGAGGTAAAAAACATACTGCAGTCACAGAAGATGTATGTGATCAAAAACCTGTTTTGATAAGCATAGTGTTACTTTAAAATTGGGTTTTGCTTTTTAACTTTTCATATTGGGATAGTTCACACAGTGATTTGCATTCCTTTCTTATTTTTAAAATTCAGGAGGGAGGGGAAAAGTGGCCTAGATGATAGAGGCTCTGTTCATCCCTTTGGCGACCAAATCAAAGTTGTGACAAAAACAAGGAGCAAACAGCAAGGAAAAATCGCTTGGGATCTAGATGAACAAGCCATACAACTAGGGAGAAATCTAAGAAATCACGCTGCAACAGCAGAAGGTAGGACGAGCAAAGACACCTGGCCACCAGGTCTCAAGCGGCTGAGTAAGCTGGAGGCTACTGCAGCGGCAGCGGCCGATGCCTCTTAAAGGAGCCACGTCCACGAGCAGACCCTTGCGGTGACGGACCTGCTCACTCTGAGCACCAGTGCTGGTTCAGCTGTGCAGGGGTCACCAGAAACTTACAGGGGGACACTGAATTGTCAGATTGAGGGATTAAGCGAGATTTGCTCTGTACAGAGGTGCGGGCAGTATTCATTGTTCCTAGGTTGAGTTCTCCCCGCTCCTGGTGCATGGACACAGCGCTGCTGTAGCTGTGATGCCTTAAAACTCAATAACAGAGGTTGCTATGCCCAGAAGATTCCCTGAAACTCCGCCTCCCCCAACTCCTGGCCCCATCCAAGCCACATCCAGGTGTATTCTCAGCGAATCAGGTGCTCCTTGCTGAGCGGTGCCTAGACTCACACTGGAGACAGCTGGCCTCAGTTTCTGATGTGTTTTTTTTTAAGGCAACTATAAGCAGAGCATCTGTGAATTGCTTCCTGAATCTTAACAGGTGGCCCTGGAGGGGTAGAGGCTTGGGCTAAATTTGGCCTGCCACTGAACCCTTCTCAGAACTGTGCCACTGGATACCTACGACACAAATCCACACTAATAAGACCGGGAGACTTAGGAGCTTTGCTTAGTACATAGAAACAGACACAGAAAGGTAGCCAAAAATGGAAAACAAAGAAGCAGAAACCATATGAGAGAACAGAACAGAGATCCAGAAATAATGGAGTCAAGCAATCTAACAGATGCAGAGATCAAAATACTGATTATAAAGATGCACAGTGAACTTATAGGAAGTGTAGATTAATTCAGTGAGAACTTCAACAAAGAGATAAAAAACACAAAAATGGAAATGGAAATTATAAAAGGGAATCAGTCAGAAATGAAGAACACATTATCTGAGATGCGAAGTATATTAAATGGAATAAACAAAGTAAATAAAGAAGAGGATTAAATGCCCTATATAGAGAATGGGGAAGCCAAGGACACTCAATCAGAATGGCAAGAAAAAAGATGCCAAGACTATAAAAATAATTTAAGGAGCCTATGGGACACTATTAAAGGTAAAAATATCCGTCTCATAGGGGTACCTGAAGGAAACAAGATGTTGAAGAGATATTTGAAGAAATAATGATGGCAAACTTCCCTAATCTGGTGAAGGAAATAGACATAAAATCCCAGGAAACTCAGAGAGTCCTAAAACCCAGGAACTCAAAGAGGTCCATACCAAGACACATCATAATTAAAATGCCAAAGGTTATATACAAAGAGAGAATCTTAAAAGCAGCAAGCAAAAAACAGTTAGTTACCTACAAGGGAGCACCCATAAGACTGGCAGTTGATTTCTCAAAAGAAACTACGCAGGAGAGAAGGGCTTGGCACAAAATATTCAACGTGATGAAAAACCAAGGTCTACAACCAAGGATACTTTATCCAACAAAGCTATCATTTTGAGTCGAAGGACAGATAAAGAGCTTCCTAGACAAAAATAAGCTAAAGGAATTTATCATCACCAACATTTCCTGTAATACTTCTTTAAGAAATATTAAGAGGAAATTCTTTAAGAAGATAAAACATGTATCAAAAACAGGAATTAAGAATGGTAACAACTATATTCCTATCAACAAATGCTTCAAATGGAAAAAGAATTAAGTGCTCCGACTAAAAGATAGAGTGGCTGAATGAATAAGAAAATAAGACCACTACATATACTGCCTACAGGAAACTCACTTCAGATTAAAAGACACACACAGACTAAAAGGAAGGGGATGGAAAAAGATATTGCCTTGATAGACCCAGAAGATATTGCACTGAATGAAATGGGTTGGATAGAGAAAGATAAATAGCACATGATTTCACGTACATGTGGAATCTAAAGAACAAAATCAACAACAACAACAGCAACAACAACAACAACAACAACAAAAGCAGAAATAAACTCATAGATACAGAGAATATTTAGAAGGATACTAGATGGGAGGGGGGCTGGAGGGGACAAAAAAAGGCAAAGGGATTAAGAGGTACAAACAGATAGTTGCAGAATAGACATGGAGATGTAGAGTGTAGCATGAGAAAGATGGTTAATAATGTAATAAATATATAAGGGGAAGAGGGGCATGAGATTTAGTGGGATGATCACTTTACGAGTTATGTGGATCTCTAATCACTATGCTATACAGCTGAAACTGGTATATTATTGTATGCCAACTATAATTGAAAAAAATTGAATTGTACAATGTAACTACAAAGCAACTATTTGTCTATTATATTTCAGTAAAGACAAAAAAATGAAAAAAATTCAGGAGATGTTGACTGGTGCCCAAGGGATCAATTACCGTTGAGCAGCTACCACCTCCTGTTGAAGGGGGTCTCTACTGACTCGGCTCCTCCCTACTGATTTACATCCTGTCTGTTCATTCAGTGACAGCACCTGCCTGGCTCCTGTAGACAATGTGTTTATAATATGTCAGGCTTGTTACAAGTGTCCTGAGGAGCAACTCACATAACTCCCTGCCCCGTTTGCACCATGCCTTTCCTTTAAAATTGTATCCAGAGCACGCCTTCTAAGATTTTTCTGATTGTTTCATCTATAGCTTTCCTCTATACAATTTCAACTGCCCTTCTTTGCCTCCAGGGTTAGTA